TGTCGCCTTTCTTTGAGTATCTTGGCCTGAAATCTGGAGGAAATAATCTCTCTTTCAGTCACAGATTGATCGTAGGACTTCACGTGTTTCTCCTTTGTACAACTGCATGTGGAGCAGGTCCTTTCCTCTGACTGCTCAGGAGGATATGTGAGAGCTCTGCTTCTGTGCTCATGCAGGGATTAACCTCAGGATCTTTCTGTAGGTGAATCTTTGTGTCTTTGCTGCTTATGCTTTCCTTCCTAGCCTTTAAGTTACGGGTACTTCAACAGGAACTCTGCAGTGGAACTCTTATTGTGGATATTGTTCAGATATTTCAGCATTTGTGTCACAAGTTTTACTTTTTGTCAGTGCATCAGTGCAGGCTTTGGTAAAACACCTTTGGTCACTAACTCAAACCCCCATGCCTGAACCAAATTGTTTCTTGGGATTGAGGAAGGAATATATTTTCCAGGGTCTTCTTTTAAGATGGGTCCCTAAGACTTCAGTGTAACTAGTTCTGTATCCCCTTATATAGTTTTTCCAGTGTGCTTTACAAATCAGGAGTGTTCTCACTGCCCTCCTAGAGGTGGAAAAAAAATTACTTGGATGATTAGCCCAATATATCCAATGCACTTTTGCTACAAATTATGTAGATACAAATGAAAAACCTGAACTGCAGATGATTTCTGAATTCTTACATCCATTTCCTAATCAGTGTTTGTGGCCTCACTTAATGCTGCCTTGCTTAACTAAATTTGGGTTAACCCAAATCACAGAATGCTGAGCTAGCTAACATTCATTGTCAGTATTATATTTAACTTGTTTGCTTTCATTTAATATATAAGTTTGGTACTTGGTTAAAAATAGCAGCTAGAATGTTGAGGGGGGAAACAAAACAAAGCAAAATGTTTTAAAAGAGGCAATCAAAACGGAGCAAAATTTTCTTGTGAAGGCTTTTTGGGCTCTTCATGACTTGTCATCACTCTCCCTTGTTTTTATTTTCTACATTCTTTACAGAAGGATGAGTAAGCTTTCATACCAAAAAGCTCACCATGTCCAGTAGGTCTCAGGAGTGAGGATGTCTTGCAGGAAATTACATCCCCAGTGTTCAATAAGGTAAATAAAAACATTCATTTTGCTATACTCTTGAGGTATTGGTAAGATTGCATATAGTATCAAAGTCTGTCTCTGGATAGATGAACTTAATATTTGTAGTTATAGTAAACTAAATTCACTTCTCATTCAATAAGGTGGTTTTTTTGCCTGCTTCTCACACTTGTCCCAGAAGCTGTACATTATTAACTTGTTTCTAGTTAGTAATAGGTTAGACTGGACAGGAAAGGTGGGTGGAATTCCTTCTTGCTGGTAACTCATTGAAGGATCTGGTTGAAAATAAAGTGTCTAAGAGGTTATGGAACAAATAGACAATGGGCAGGAACAAGCTGCCCCACCAGGTGAAGCCCTCAGGCACAGTGCTGCTAACTATGGTCTCTCCCTTCTCCCTGAAAGCAAATGGAGAGCAGCCAATACTTTTAAAAAGAGGGTTCTGGGGGAAATCTGTGGTCTGCAGACCAGGAAGTTTACCACTACCAACTAAATTACAGAAAAAATACCAAGGTAGAATTACTGGACACCTGCATAAATATTATATAGTGGGGAAGAGCCATTGTGGCTTTTGCAGTGGAGAAGTTATGCCTTTAAAAAGTGTTGGAATTCTCTGAAGGTCTACTAAATAAGCATGTTGAGAGGTCTGGCTTGCAGTCAGTACTCAGATTTCAGGAAGCTTTTAAACAGGAATCCTCACCTGAGCAGCTCCTGACATAATAAGGGAGTTCCCTGTTGTAAATAAGCAGTTGGTGCAAAGATAGGAAAGAGGATGTGAGTAAATGGGCAGCCCTGGTGGTGGCTGGAGGTCACCACTGGAGTGCTGCAGGGATGTTTGTAAATGACCTAGAAAAAACAGGTTTCCAGCTGGCTTTACATTGTGGTAAAGAAGAGGACTGAAAGTGATGAACTGCAAATGTAAACTGATTGGTGTGGGTGGGTAGCAGTCCTCATTTCACACACAAAATAAGTGAGTTTTTGGAGCCATGATGGCTAATTCTGTGAACCTTTCTCCTTCAGCACAGTCTCAGCCTTACACAGGCTCAGCAAGACTGCAATAAGGTCACTGCCCATCTGGGAACTGGTACCAGTGATTGTCCCTCCAGGGTGGCAGTGTGTTCTCACCTACACTGCTTTTTCATGCTTTCAGAGAGATGGATGTGTGTGAGGAAAACATTCCAGCTGCAGGGATCTGGACCTGTGAGCCAAAATACATGCAAAATACTGATGGGATTTTTTTTTTTTACCTGCTTTCAGTGGAGCTCATTAAATACATAAGGAAATACCTACAAATGCAATCTTATTACAGGGATTAAAGTAGCCTGCGTAGACTCAGTTGTGCCTTGACCACAGGAGGTTTCTGCAGCTGAGCTGTATTTTACACAGGTTTTCAGTGTCTTTCTGATTCTGGTTGGCAGGGTCCCTAAACACTTGCCTGCTGACCCAGCAGCCCTGAACACTTCAGGCCATTGTGCAGGCTTATCCAGCTCTCCATCTTCCTTCTCTGACTTCCATCCTTTTTTCTGCTTGCTCTTAAAAACTTGTGGCTCCTTTGGTTACAACAGGATTAGTAAGAAGTGATTAAACCCCCAGCCGATTTATTGGAGGCACAGAAGTAGAATTTGTTTACTATACAAGCAAATAGGGGTTCTTCTGGATTTATAAGGTGGTTTTGCAGTCCCCTCATTCTGCATTGTTGCTTTTAAAGCAACCACATTTTCCTACATGATCCATTTCTCATGACTATAAGGCAGTGTCCTGCTGTTTCCAGTGGAAGTGCTGAGATCTGTCTAGGAGCAGCCCACAGCAATGAAATTACAAGTGCCCTAAGGCTGCCAGTCCAACATCTACATAAGAGCACTTGTAGCTTGTAAGAATTACTTAATTGAAAAGGCAGTAGGTGCCAGGCAACTCAGATCCTGTTTCTGATGTCACATTCCGTAAGAGCACCAAGCGAGTTAATGTTCCACTCAGGCTGGCCATGTGTTCAGCATGTCTTTATGTATGGCTGATGAACTGGAAGTTCCAGTTAATATTGTCAGAGAAGTCTGGAGGTCTGTCTTCAGACTGAGGCATCCCCTTCAGTGAGTCTTTTCCAGGGCCAGTCTGATACAGAGAAGTGTTCCTCCTCCATCCCTTCCTTCCTGCAGCCCGTTTTCCTACTGTCACCCTTTCTCCTAGACAGGACTCTCATGAGGGAAGGCCAGCAGGCAATTTTGTCTGAGGCAGACTGGTGACTTCTGACCACATTTTTAACAATTCCCACCAGGTGAAAGCCTTGGTTCAGCACAGAATACCTGGCACAGAGCTGCCCATTCTATGGCAAGTCTCTGATGTCGCTGAATTATTGCAATCAAGAATTAAATATGTAGGGGAAAAAAAAAATCCCACTTCCCTGCCAACCCTGCCAACGTGATTTATTTCTTTTTTTTTTTGCTGCCTATTTTTATATGTTTGTGTCTGGATTCTTCTGAAGTGAAATGTAACACTGCTGGGGAATTGGCAGTGATGATCCTGCAAGCAGCAATGCTGAATTTGGTTCAGTGTAGATCAAGGAAACTGTTGCTGGTGGATCTTTCTTTGAGAGAAACATCAGAGCAAGATAAGGATTGCTTTTGGTGGTGATGGGTTTTGTAGCCTTTTTAAAAAGCTGGTATCTGGTGAAAAATGAGTGGCAACAGCTACTTAATTATCTATATACTTCCCTTACAGGCTTAGCTACAAATAGGTCCTTTCTCCATCTCTTTATTATGTATCATGTTGAACCTTTGCTGTTCTCCTTTATACCTACATGTGGTTCAGTTCAGAACTTAAGAGGCATCTTCCAAAACTTAGTGCCTTTGCATTCTCTTGAAAGAGTCCTTTTTTGAGGCTGACTCTTTCTAAAGTGAGTGCCTATGGGGGAATTTAAATAGTTTGCTTTCAGCTTTTTGTGTACCCAGTCCAGGAAAAGTACATTCCTCACTGGTTTCATAAACTGTTGTATAAAAAAGGCTAAAGAGCATCTCCAGCAATGCCCCAGCTGAGAGATCATCTTTTGTTAAAGCAATAGAAAATTGCAAATTGTCCTTGAGTTTGAGTTAATGATGCAGTGTTGGTATCATGATCTCCAGCTCCAAAATCTCTCAGCCTGTTTCAAAGTGCCTTATACAGTGAATAAACAAGTTTGTCCCTGTTTGACAGGTACAAGGACTGCAGCACAGAAAAAGAAACATTAGCTTTTTGAAGCTCACCTAGTAAATTGGTGACAAAACTAGAACTATCTCAGGTTACATTGTTGACTGGCACAGACTGCTCTTCATCTTTCTGGTAGGTTTAACTATTTTGTGGAGGTTCTAATACAAGTGTTTCTACAGCATAATAAAAAAGTTTCTCCCTGTAACTGTAAATCAGGCATCTCCCAACTGAAATGTCTGTGTCTTGTGGAGTTTTAGTTTCTTATCAGTGACGTTACTGATTAAAATGATTAATACACAACTCTTGTGGACTTTCAGAGTCAGCACAGTTTTTGAGGTGTTGTTTCCTCTTTTTTTTTGTCTGCTTAGCAGGTCATGTTAATTTGAGGTAAAAAGTATGTAGTACTGGTTTATCTTTGTTTTCAGTTTCTGAATTTCCTAACCTAACAGTTAGCAAACATTTTTACTGCTGAGTGGAGCAGAGTTGCTTTTCATCTGCAGTTCTTAAAAGATGGATACTCAAACTGCAGTTTTCTGTTTGCTTATCAGTGGAGCCCAATATTTGCCCAGCCTGATGCAGACACAGCCACATCTGTCACCTGCTTTTGTAGTTTGCTGAGACTGTCCAGTCAGGTTGAGCTTTCAGATTCATTGTTGTGTAAAAATAAAAGATTGTGGAAATGAGTTACTTTTTAATAAGCTTTATATTCCTAATCATGTTTCTATCAATATTCTAGAACTATGCCCAGGAAAAGAAAGCTGTTGGCTCAGTTAAGTGCTCTCCAAAGTAACACCAGCTTCCCTCCTTTTGATGCCTTGGAAAACCTGAATGCTACACCTGATGGGGATTCTCCAAAAAACAGCAAATACTTTGTGGCAGAGAAAAGAAATTCTTCCCAGCTAGAAGCAGATTTTTTCAACCAGCCATGTATTAGTCTGGCCAAGTCCTTTCTGGGACAGGTAAGACATCAACCCTGAGATGACTGTACTAGAGCACGTGCTAGCTAGTAACTCAGTGTAAAAGGATGGAATTCTTTTTTGCCACTTGACTCCAGAGCTTTGCTATTATAGGAATACAGCTCTAATTCCTTCTGTTGTTAAGTTCACTGGAATTCAAGGACTAGTAGCCAAATCTATTTTGGATTAAGTGACAGGAGTAAATTGTCAGGTTTAGTTCACTGTCACATTTCAGAATTAGTTTTTAGTGGAGTTTTTTCTCCATTTTTTCTGGTTTACTGCAATGTACTTTGCTGTTTGTGGATTGAAGTTTGGTTCAGGCTTTTTATTTTCCTGCCAGGTGTTCCTTTATTTGTTTTTGGCTCTTCCTTAGCCCAGTGGAAAGTAATGCTCTGCAGTCAGCAGCATCTCCTTCTCTGCCTCCATTTTCCTCTTGTGATGCTAATATTAGCATGGCAGGCCCTTGGCCTTTCTTGACCAGTACCCACTGTCAATCTACTTGAATATTTTGTTCTCATCTGCAAGTTTAGCAGACTGCTGGGTCCTTTCTTTTGTACTGCCCTGGCTGATTTGAAAGTTGTATCTCATGCTGCCACCTGCTTTTGGGTGTGCGGTTCTGAATAACTCATTATTGTCAGTACACACAGGGAACTCTCCAATGATCACCTTTCCCAGGTTATTCACACAAATGCACAAGACAGCACAGGAGTCATTTAACAGTCCCACAGCTACACTCTCTTCACTCTGAAAACAGCTAGTCCTGTCTTTTTGTTTCTGAGTTTTCAAGCTGTTACTTGTTCATGAAAGGACCTTCTCCCTTATCCTATCGCAGAAGCTTTGAGGAATGTTAGGGTCTTTTTGAAAGCCTTTGGAAATCAGAGTGGGGGAGATTAAACACTCTTCTGCTCAGTGAGTCCTTCAAGAAAATTCTCTTGCTGTTTCCATGGGAGGGAATCCCTCCAGTGTTTTCCCTATAAAAAGTTCCAGTCTGAGACCTCGTAAATGCAATTGCAAAATGTGTTTTTAGTTTCACTGCTGTCGTCTTATCTTTCCTGGCTCTTTTTTATACCTTTATTGTCTGTAGGGTGAACAGACTCCCTGGGTTCTCATTGGTTTAGATAACTTCAGGAATTTGTTCCACAAACTGTTGGCTTTGGCCTGTCTTGCTGTGTCTAGCTTTTTTTTTATTATTTTCTAAGGATATTGTCTTGCTTGTCATTGATGCCTTTGCTCTGCTTTTTAACCCTGCTGGGTTTTTTTTTGGTCTGACTTAACCTCTCTCTGACACATCATGTATGTTTGCTATCTTTCTAGACATCCTGCAGGAGGGTTCCCTTTCCAGCTTCAACCTTTGGCTGCCTCTTTTAAGTTCTTCCTAACAAGCTTCCTCACTTTATGTAGTTTCCCCTTTTTGCTGTGTGCAGAACTCTGATAGATTATTTTTGGACCTTCACACTTGTGGAAAGGACACTGAACTTGATACTTCATGGTTATGATACAAAGTTGTTTTTCAGGGATAAGCCTTTGGAAAAGACTTTTTCTATTTCACTCTGGATCAGTCTGAGAGTTTAGTTTTTCCTTGCAAGATCACTGATTACTCACTCTGCAAAGCATTTTGGTGGTGTCTCAAAAAACACAGCCTGTGTCCTGTCCTACTGTGATAGTCACTTGGTCTATATGAGGATACCTGAAGTCTCCCAGTACTGATGCATCTTTTATCTTGATGACTCCAACATCCCTACACAATCAGCTGCATTTAGTCTTAATTCTATACATTTCCTATTTAGGCCTAGAATTACAAGCCAGGCAATTTCTATGTCAATTTTATATCTTCTTTAAAGTATAACCCCCAGTCTCCCATGGTGCAGCCTAGTCTCTCCTTTTCTAAGAATTGTAACAGTGATGTAGTGTCACATTAATTATTTTAATTCTATCACATTTTGGAGGTGCCTGGTATATTAATATTGCTTATTCACACGTGATTCTTGAATTCTTGGAAACCAAAAAAAATACCCCAAAACATACAAGCAATAAATAGCCTCTTAAAATGAACTTTCCTAGCACCAAGATACATCCTCAATGAGCAATAAAGACCTCTATCAATTAGTTGACTGTGAGGCAGTGTGAATAATTAACATTTTTCAGCTGTTTGACTGTATTTGATGTGTCTGAGAAGTCAGGGAAGTGCCTGGATGCTTTTAAAGTCATAATCTGACCAATGCATTTGATCCTATTGAAAGAGAAATGTGGCCACACGGGGTTTTGGGGTGTTTCCAGGCAGTTGCTAAACGCTAGTGCTTTCCTGAAGTCACTGCATTTTTCATAAAAACAGTAAACTGATTGTTTTCAATGTTTTGAGAAGTGTTGTAGGGAACCCCTGATATATTGGAGTTGCACCACTGGAAACTGATTTTGAGAGCATCCATTATGGATCAGGTCAATAATGGCATTAGCAATCCAGCACAGGCATCTGCTAGGAATTAAGCTTTGTTTCTTCAAGGTCATATTTGAAGGGCTGGTTATCAAATATGGAAGCATGCAATACAGCATAATTGAACTGATAGTCACTGTTGCCTAAATGAGACTATACTGCATTATTTCTTAAACACACATTATGTGAATGAAATTTAGGAATCTGTTCAAACCACAAAAAACTTTGTATTAAATTTAGTGATTGTTTTAATTTAAGAGAATCTTTCACTGTTGTGTTTGTTGTTTAGGTTGTTGGGGTTTTTTTCCCACATGTGCTTTGTTTTATTTAAGGAGGCACCAGCAGCAGGGAACACACTGTAATAACAAAGCTCTGTGTTGTCTGCCTGAAGCCAGTTCCCAGCTCTGTAGTGCAGAAAACACAGCAATAGCATTGGTACTCACCCTGGTTGTATCTCTGTGGTTAGGGACTAGAACCTGTTTGAAACATCTGTATGGAGAGATCACACTGCCTCATCACAGCCATTATTTATTTGTGCCACTGTCATATTCCCTCTGATCTAAAACATACGCAACTGTGATTCTTCCAGGTTGATAGTGGTGGTGCTTTTTGCCTTAAACCTGACAGGCTGGGGTGGAAAGTGCAGAAAATAACCCCAAAAGCAACTACCTCTGTGGTTTTACTGTATTTAGGATCAAAAAATGGTTCCTTATGGTAGTGCCACATCTGGACACTCCAGGTGTTTTGTGGGATGAGGGACAGGTAGGAACTTCTTGTGCTAGACAGTAGAAGCTGAGAAACTTCTCGTTAGCTTACAGCCCAGACTGCTGGGAAAGAAGACAGTAAGTAGTACCACCAGGACCTTTTTCCAACCTCTTTGCTCCCACTGCCCTTGTGCTCTGGTTATTTTGTACCCATCTGGGTTGCTAACTGATGCCCTCTGACCTCTCTTTTCAGATTTTAGTGCGCAAACTTCCTGATGGCAGAGAGCTCTGGGGGAGGATTGTTGAAACAGAAGCTTATCTGGGTGGGGAAGATGAAGCTTCCCACTCAAAAGGTGGGAAGCAAACTCTGCGAAATGCAGCAATGTTCATGAAACCAGGAACCCTCTACGTGTACCAGATCTATGGGATTTATTTCTGCATCAATGTTTCCAGCCAAGGTAAGCTAAGGCTGGAAGAGTTTTAATGCCTAGACTTTTAATGCCCCATATGCCCCTACGTGGGGCTGGTATTTCAAGCTACACTTGCTGTGTTGCAGTCACTTATGAGCTCTGGCAAGTCAAGGACTTGCTGTCAGTCTTTCTTTGGGGCCTGGGTTTGGCCATTGGGATCAGTATGTAACTGTGGACAGTCAGCATAGGAGCTTTCAACATTACAAAGAAGGCCCATCTCTGGCTGCACAGTGGGGTTTTGGTCCCCGCTGAGAGCTATGTGAGCTGTTCAGGCACAGAAATAAAGACTTATGGACTGGAGGAGAATCTTGATAGGATGGAGCTTTCCATTTTGATGACCTGGGCTGCTGTTCATGTGATTCAGTGAACTTTGTTCCTTGAAAATGGTGATGCAGAAGTAAATTTGCAGTCTAATGGCAGCGTCAGTCGTGGGGTCTGTTTTCATGACAAGAAACTCTTCTGTCTCCTGCCTTTATCTTCAGAAGCTGTAAATGCTGGGTAAAACAAAAAGGTCTGAGATGCCCTAAGGATAAGAAAGGAGTCACTGCAGGAGCATTTTAGGTGCTTTGCTGTATCTTAAAACAAAAAATCCCCAATCAAAATACCCAGACTGTTACAGAATCTTCAGTCTTATATTATTCTCAGGATAATATAATCATCCCCAAATCAAGCAATTCTGGAATTTACTGAAACTCTCCTTCCACAGTTTCTCTCAGCATGCAAAAGTTATTTTTAAAACTTGGGGTTTTCCTTTTCTGCAAGAATGACACTGATTGCCTGGCAATAAAGCTGTGGGTTACTCAGATACCTTGAAATGGCAGCAGGTAGATCTTAGCTTAGTTCTTCTTTTTGGCCATTTTAAAGATACAGCTTCAAAAAACAGCAACCACTTGAATATTCCTAAGTAGAAAGCAAATGTTGTAACAGTGACTATGACTCCTCAGATTTTGGCCTTTGGACAGGAAAGCAGTGCTGGGTTATAGTGTGGGGGCAGAGCCTGTCCTTCTAAATGGAGATCTGGAGCCTGGTGGCTGAACATGTCTGGATTTCATTACCTTGTCTCTGCCAAGTCTGTTTAGATAATGACAGCAGAATGGTTCTTTATTCAGGATGGGATTCTTGGTGTTTCAAATATCACAAGTAATAATTTTTATTTAAAAAAAATATGCTTGGCCTTTGAATTCTAGGAAGATTTATTTGAAACTTACAGTTTGGGAAATATTGCCTTATATACCTGTGTTTAGTTCTGAGTTAAAGAGCTGACTGTTGTGATGGACTGAGTTGGATTTTTTGTTCCAAACGTACTCTGCAGTAGCCTGTCGTGCATGCAGCTATGCTGACAGCAAGCCCAGCTGTCACTGCCAGCTTTGTCAGGAACCCACTGAAGTAAACAGCATGGCTGTGCACCTTCTGTGTCACAGATGAGCCTACTTAGGGAAGATTTACTCCTTCAGTGTACTTGTCCATAGGCAGATGTGCTGAAAGAAAGAATTTGAGGAGGAATCATACCCAAGATGCTTTTCCAGTCTTAACATAGAAGAAGGAGCCTGTCCTGTCTTTTAGTCTGAGGGAAGGACTAAGGTGGTGGCACTTAGGCACCTGAGTGGAAGACAAAAGCATTTAATTTTCTGGATGTGGGACCAATCTTGGAAACTGTTTGGAATCTGGCTGTGGCTGTGCAGAAAACACAAGCAAACCCTGGCAAAAGACATGTCTGTTGTGCCTTAGTATCAGATCATGTTCTGCTTATAGCATAAACTTCTGATGTAATTGGTTTCATCACCTTTGTGCAGGGAATTTGATGCAAAATATCTAAGTATTCAGGGTGTCCATGTGAATGCTGAGAAAGGGACTGGCCAGGAGATGATAAAAGGGATATGAACATATTCTTTCTGAAGGTGTTGCTTGACAAGACTAAACACAGATTACTACACATCTCCAGTGATGTTCCAGAGCTGCATCACTCTGCTTGGATTTTGGCAGTGCAAAGCTGCAGAGCACAGGAGTTAAAACAACGGAGAACATGGAGTGACTGCATCTCTTCTCATATATCATCATCTGCCTCCTGTGATTTCCTAGGATCTTTCATATCCCTTCCTCAGCTGTCTTTCAAGCTGAGAGTTTCTAATTCTACTTCATTATTCCTTCCTTAGTCTCTTGCTCCAAAGCTAGTCCATAACTTTGATCATCCTGGTTGCTTGTCCCTGAATCTCTTCCAGTTTTGTTACATCCTTCTGCAGATGGAGAGGAGGAGCAGAACAAGTCCAGACATGCACACAGGTTTTCAGGACAGCAGAGCAACTTGCTTTATATGGGTAGTTGGGGTTTACATCTGAGACTGCTGTATGGCTGTTGGAACAAGCACACAGATTTAACTGAGATCCAGTGTGGTTTTAGGCAGTTTATTAAAGTTAGCACAAACTAATAACCACAAATGAATTCTTAGAGGGCTTAGATTGAACTATGTAGTTTTGTAGTGTAGGCCGGTCCTTGTGCTGCTTAAATTACAGGATCCTCATAGGGGAAAGGCAAGTGGTTCAGAGAACCAGGATATTCTCAGAAGTACTGGAAGTGACTGCTCTCTTGCTCCTTCTCAGTCTCTTGAACTGAGTGACCATAGGGCTGATTTGGAGCCACTCACAGGCTGAAGGAAAGCAGCTGTCCTTTTGCTGGAGAGAGAGCAGAATGCTGTTCTGTCCTTGTGTTCTGCTACCTTCCTGGCACAGACACTGCCCAGGGCTGTCCCAGACACATGCTGTTGGGACCAGACAAGCAGCACGAACTGAACTGTTGCAGCAGACTTTGTTTAACACTTATTAGAATCATGCTGGGGCCTTCTTGGTCCTTAATCAGCTGAAGATCTGAGGCCTATATGAGGTGTACAAAGCTTTATATCCTGCTCATACTTGCTTCCCTCTGCTTAGCTTGTAAGGAATGGGGTATTTGGCTCTTGAGACTCTAGCTTTTTAGAACTCTCTTGCTTTGGTAAGTAACCTTGTAGCATCTTCTGTTTTTATTGCAGTTGGAATAAACCTTCTCTTTCATTTCCTGTATTTGCCTTATGCTAGACTTCAAGGCTTAATGGTATCACTCAGGGATAGGAAAAGGTGTGTCACTAGCAGAGCTGTGCTGGGCAAGGTGTATGGTAGAGAGGCTATAAAAGCATAGACTTTACCTTGAAAGCCACTCCCACTGCGGTGTCCTCAGCAGGGTGTCCCTCAGCCCGGCCTGATGCTGCCAACAGACATTAGAAGCACTTCAGCTGTCACTGGTTTTTGCCAGTTTAGCTACTCCACTGGGGCAATATGAGTGCACGAATCCTACAGCACATCCTGGCAGCAGCCAAATCATCTCACTATAAAGAGCCTTCCCTAGGATTAAGACATTGGGCTTCCCTCACTTCAGGAAGAGGGGAAATGCCAGCCAAGTTTTTCTTTCACTTTGCTGTGATTTGTTTCCCTGGAATTTGCCCAGGTGTGTGTATTGCTGCCAGAGCTGAAAGAACAGCTTGTAAAATCAGGATCCCAGTGATGCTCTATCCAGGCCCAGGGTCACACAGCATGGACTTCCCTCTTAATTTTGGATCCTAGACTAGGACTTTGAAGGAAGCGTTTCGGGAGCAGTGAGTCAGATGGGTGGAGACAGAAAATGTTCTTCTCTCCAGCAGCCAAGAGCTGTTTCCAGGAATGAGTGCTGGAGCAGCTCCAGGGAAGGAGCAGCAAGCTGCACCACGGGGGTGCTGGACTTCCCCATCGTTTTATGATTTCTTGCTGTTCAGGGAGAGAATTGGCCTGAGCATCATTATTAGATCCCAGTGTGGAGCTCTGAATGCTGCTCAGGATATGGAGTGACTCTGATAGCTGTGGAAGGGAGATACTCAGCACCTCTGGACTGGCCCTGCTGCAGCTGAGGTGCCCGTGGCTGTATCCCTGCCAGGCAGATGCTGAAGCCAGGTAATGCCTAAGAGCAAACTGCTGCAGGGGGGAGCAGGGCAGGCTGCAGCACTGGCAGGCAGAAGGGGAGCTGGAAGGTTTTAGCTACTCTGTGGTAGTTAAAATAAAACTTCTCATGTGCAAGCATGCTCAGGAGGACCCGAACATCAGCCCAGGGGCATGGGGACAGATGAGGGCAGAGAAGGTAGTAGCTTATTGTGGCATCCCTACACTCTAACCCTGTCTGCTCTCCACCTCTTCCCAAAGCTCTTCTGTTGTTGCAGTCATTCAGGGACTCCTGTTTCAGAGCAGAGTGCAGGGTCTGTCTTGCACACAGCTAGAAAGAGCGTGAAAACCTCTGGTGGAAAGGGAGGAAGAGCAGCCAGAGACAGAAATGCCAGGTACCCCCTGCCATGGCTGTGCAGGTGCTCCAAGTGCTTGTCTCTCTTCACATGAACCCTCAAGAACTCAGTTCAAGTGAAGTCTAACCACAGTTTCCACTTGCATTTGTGATGGCTGAAGGCAAGGAGTGTAATTAGTGATTGCTCAGAATCCCACAGTTGTTCCTGGCAAGGGAGGCAGCATCCCACTGCAAGTGATGTTTCTTTGTGCTTGGATGAAAAGCAGAATTAGGAGATGAAGCATGTTCTTAAAAATCTAAAGTAACCTTTGAGCTCTAAATCACTGCAGTACAGGGAAGCAGCTTTTGGCTGCCAGATTAGCATCACTCTCCTTCCTTTGAGAAGGGAGTGCCTGGGAACAGATTGCTGCCAGCTGCTGGAAGTCAGCCTGTTGACTTGTGTGAAAACCTCAGGAGGAAAGGGAGGAAGAGCAGCCAGAGACAGAAATGCCAGGTACCCCCTGCCATGGCTGTGCAGGTGCTCCAAGTGCTTGTCTCTCTTCACATGAACCCTCAAGAACTCAGTTCAAGTGAAGTCTAACCACAGTTTCCACTTGCATTTGTGATGGCTGAAGGCAAGGAGTGTAATTAGTGATTGCTCAGAATCCCACAGTTGTTCCTGGCAAGGGAGGCAGCATCCCACTGCAAGTGATGTTTCTTTGTGCTTGGATGAAAAGCAGAATTAGGAGATGAAGCATGTTCTTAAAAATCTAAAGTAACCTTTGAGCTCTAAATCACTGCAGTACAGGGAAGCAGCTTTTGGCTGCCAGATTAGCATCACTCTCCTTCCTTTGAGAAGGGAGTGCCTGGGAACAGATTGCTGCCAGCTGCTGGAAGTCAGCCTGTTGACTTAATGGAGCTGTTCTGAGGGCAGTGGGGGCTCTGAGCAGGTTCAGGGCAAGAGACACACCTCACAAAAGGCAGAAATTCGGTCCTCAGTTGACAAGCTCAGCTAGGAGCCCAGGAGAGTAATTTAGTGTGGGATTTGAACAAAATATGAGAGGGATACTATTTTTGGAAATCACAAGTCCTCAGGGATCTGTCAGTGCCTACAAAAAAAGCCTTTGCCAGGCGGGAACATGGCTCCAGATGTTTGAGGCTGGAAAGGGAGAGGGATTCTTGCAGAGAGGCAGCGTGGAGCACGCAGATGCTGGCGGGGAGGAATGTCGTGGGTGGCCCCAGCACAAGGGGGGCTGTGTGGGGCAGCACACAGGCTGCTTTGCCAGGCTCTCTCCTCGCCCACTCAAGGTCATGAGAAGACCTTCCTTGCTGTCCACTGGAAAAGCTTATGTCCCACTTAGTCTGGAGATCCTCATCATAGGGGAATGTCTGTGCTCAGAGCCACATCTCTGCTTCACTGTCACCAAAAGCAGGCAGGACAGCTGATGGCAACAGCTTGGGAGGGCTGGAGTTCCTTAAGGCTCCTAGCAGAGTGGCAGATCACATCTAAGAGAACATGTCAGTTTTCTTTACTTTTTGTCTCAGAGAGGTCTCTGCTGGAGTGATGCTCTGAGGGCCATGCGTCCCACAGCCAGAAATGGTACAACCCTTTCCTGCCCTGGGTTCCTGTCTTGCAAGAGCTTCCCTGGCACAAGGGTTCAGATCATTCTCCATTGTAGCTCTGCAGTTACCCAAAACCATGTCAATCCCACCTGCTCTTACACCTCCACTTGGATATTTCAGTTGGCCAGGGCTCCCTGAGCACAGACAGAAGCCATTCACTATGCCTGCAGCTCCTGCCCTGCTTTCTCTTTGTCCAGCCTAACCCTGCAAGCTGCCTCTTTCTGCTGGCAGCATCCAGGATCACTCCTCCTCTCCTTTGTTAGCTGGAGCTCTTGTAATCAGAGTTCATTATAAATCCACTGGGTTTGGGAGCAGCTTTGGATAGGAATGCCAAAACTGAACCATATGTGTATTTATTCCTGAACATTGTGCTGACATAAGAAAAACCTCTTGCCCTCTGGCAAGCCTTGGAGCAGCAGCTAGACTTAATAACATCAAGAAGTGGGGTTGGGGAAGAACAAGTCAGCACTGATCAATGAAGGACACAGAGCTATGGGCCAGAGGACATTCAGAAGAGGGAAGGGAGGGCACAGGTTAGCAGCTGACCCAGAGTCTGGCACTTGAAGACAAAAGCAGACTCTGCAGTTAGGTGCTGCAGGCCACTCCCTGCTCCACCAGGCTGAGCTGAACTGCTGCTGCTGAACTCAGAGGTTGTTGATGAACAGCCCTGCACTAACACGAGGCTCTTGTTCTGCCCAGGGGAAGGGGCTGCAGTGTTACTTCGGTCTTTGGAACCTCTTCAGGGCTTGGAAGCCATGAGGGAGCTGCGCAGCACAGCAAGGAAGGCAGCCCTGAAGCCCCTGAAGGACTGGCAGCTCTGCAACGGGCCCTCCAAGCTCTGCCAAGCCTTTGGGATTGACAAGGCTTTCGACCAGAGGGACCTGACTCAAGATGCAGCCATCTGGATGATGCCTGGAAAAGACCTACCGGGGGAGCACGAGGTGGTGGCCACAACAAGGATCGGTATCGGCAACAGGGGAGAGTGGGCACAGAAACCTCTCAGGTTTTATTTACGAGGAAACAGATTTGTCAGCGTTGTCGACAAGAAAACTGAGAGAGAGATGGCAGCAATGGGACACTCACCTTGCAGCTGAGGAGTCTTGCAAGTGTGCCACTGAGCAGGACTGGAGCTGTGCTCTGTGATAGCCTCAGGCTGTGTCATGGCAGCAGCTAGACAGAGGTTTAGAGGTTTTTAACAATAAATGTACTTTATCACAAGGAATGGGGCAAGGTGGAATTTTATTTCTGGGGCAGATTGGTGTGGGTCTCCCAACCAGACCTGAGGTGGGGTTTGGATGTTGAAGACCACTTTCTCCCTTGTGAAAAGATCCAGGCTCAATTAAGGTGGATGAGCAGTGAAGGTTCACAGCTCTGAGCTGCTGTGCTGCTCCCAGGAGGGCCATGGCCTAGCTGAAGGGGAACAGTCAAAAAAGACTGGATGGCAGCAGGGCTGGCTGAAAGGATGAGAGCTGGGTTTGATCAGCCTGGAGGAGGCAAAGGAGGGAACTTACTGTTGTCTACAACCACCTAGTGGGAGGGTGGAGAGAAGACAGAGCCAGACTTTTGTTAGACAGGATGAGAAGCAATGGGCACAAGCCAGAAAACAGGAAACTCTCATTAGCTATATGGAAAATATTTTCACCATGAGGGTGATCAAACACTGGAACAAGGGCTTGGAGAAGCTGTGGGATCTCTGTCCTTGGAGACATTCAAACCTCCACTGGACAAGTTCCTGAGTGACCAGACCAGTCACATTTTCTTTGAGCAGAGGTTTGGATAAAAGACCCCCACAGATCCTTTCCAACCTATGCCAATCTGTAACCTGCAGCTCAGAGAATTAGAATGCTTTTTATTTGCTTTCCCAACTGCCTGTGAGACTTAGCAGTGTGTGAACCCCAGCACAGAGATAAAGCACTAATGCTGCAGCCTGCCATGAGGTACCAAGGAGAAAAGCTTCTAGGATTTGGGGCAGACCCTGAAGGTCTGCAGCCACACTGGCAGCTTGAAAGGTGACAGGGACACTTGCCACCCTCACCTTAGGATTCACATGCAAGAAAACAGCAGAAGTTTTTCAAAACCCGTGTCTCCATCACATGAAAAAATCTTGTTTGGCCCCTTCTGAACAGCCCTTGTTATGCCAGTCTCAATAGCTCACCTCGAGATGCAGGTGCTGGTGGCTGGTTGGGACTGGGGTCCTGAATATTGATCTGATTTTCAGGTCAGGCATTGCTTTTGCTCTTCAGTAACATCCCTGCCTGCAGCTGCAGGGATGCCAGAAGGCACCATGTGCAAGTAGCTGTCACGAGGTCTCTGGTGTACTGTGGACACCAGGCTCCCCTGTCACAACTTGCTGGTGGTACACAAGTTGCATATAGTTCACAGTTTCACCCCATTTGTGTGGGAAGTGAAACTGCTCTGTGAGAGCCTGCAACTCTGGGAAAAACTCCAGCTTGTGTGTGGTATAAGGGAAGATCTTAAGGAGGAGCCTGACAAGTCTTCTAACACACACCCCTGGAAGACACCAGCATGGAGGTAAAGGTCTCCCCTCACTTCCCTGGTTTGGGAACAGTGGCCTCACACAGGCCAGGGGTGAGTTGGCATAAGCTCCTGCTGTCCCCAGACAGAGCTGTCACCTCTCATTCCATCCCTGGCACAGCTGGAGCAGCACTCCTCACCCAGATCAGGAAACAACCACGTACAAGCACCTTGGTTCCCAGCTGGACAGCTTTAACCCAGGCCAGGTCCCCAGCCTGGTTCCCTGCAGCCACAGCACTTGCAGCTTGGCCAGCAAATTTCACTCCTGCTCAACAGCCAAGCTCCCCACCCCCAGTCAAAACCTGGAAATACACAAACACAGACTGCTTGGTGACAGCCATGCTCTCTGATGGACACCTAGTGTTAAGGATACTGGGGAAAGGAAAGAACAAGCACTAACAGCACAGTGAGCAAGTCACTCTCATTCATAGAACTGTTTACTGGCCATATTTTGCCTTCCCACCTGCGTCCTCACTGCTGCCAGATAACAGGGATCAAACAGAATTCCTCGGAGCCTGAGGATGTTTCCTGAAAAGCCAAGCCAACTCCACTGCCCTTCAGCAGAGGCCATGTGCCCTGCTGTAGGGACAGGCTGCTCTCACACGGTGCTGGTGGCCAAGTGGCCCTGCAATCCTGTTGCTGGGGAGCAGAGGAAGCACTTGTGATGCACCAGTGTCCACCCAAAGGGGAGGTGCTGACAGTACCACTGCAGTGACAGTCTCCTTGGTCGAGTCTCACAAGCTCTGGGGAGGGAGCAGGGGCAGGGTAGGGCTGTGAACTCCCATTCCATGGACATGACACAGCA